TTTGAGGCCCAAAAAAATATAAAGTGTAAAAAATGCTAGTCCAATAACATAAAGAGAATTAGCCCAATAGCTCAAATGCATTGTGAGTTTGTGGCCCAAATTGTTTATTAAGTTTTTAACCCAATTGACCCACATACCCACCCATTACCCAATATCCATCGCAGTCAAAGGAAAGAATAAGAAATCGATCAGCAGGAAAAAAAAAACGGGCACTTCAGCAGCTTCTGTGATAGCTGCGAACGAGAAAAAAAAATTCGGCCTCCGCCTCTTCCTGCCTCCATTCAATCGATTACAACCAAGATAGCAAGACATAAGTATTTCGATTTTGCTTGGCTTGGCTTCACACTCCTTTCAAACCTACAAATACAATGAAACAAGTAAGTATTGATAATTTAGGTTTATGAAATTAGTCAAATTAGTTGCTTTTTTGTTGAAATTTCTTATTGTTTAGGTGAAATTAGTAGTTCTTAACCTTGAAATTACTTGTTTACTTGTAACTTGTTGTTAGAATGTTAGATACTTAGATTGTTAACCTTGAAATTATTCAAATTAGTTTCTTTTCCATTGAGTTTTTGAACAATTGGATGGCTTATTTGTTTGATATTGAATTGTTAGGATAAAATTGGGTCCTCTTTTGGAAGACCAAGCATCAATAAATCAAGTGTTGGAGATTCCTACAAAAGACCATGCTCCAATGATTTAAGTTTTGAAGAATCCTCTAAAAGACCATGTCCTTCTAATCAATCATTCCCTTCAGTTTCTAATGTAAACCCACAACCTACAACTACTCCAATTACAAATGTTGAATTGAAAGATCTTCCAAATTATAGAATTCGGGGACCGATTTAGTGAACTTAGCACCCAATTACTAGAATACATGGGGGCTTTGAGTCCTTGTGATTCATTTGCTAAATTTGACAAAACAAAGTTATTAAAGTTGAGTGAGTTATACAAAAAAGATTTTGACGATGCGGAGATGATGCAACTTGATGGTGAACTAGAAATATATTATCATGCTTTACATAAAGATGACCGGTTCACTAGTTTGCAAGGAATTTCCGACATTTCTCGTTTGATGGTGCAAACGGGGAAACATCGGTCCTATCCTATGGTTTATAGGTTGTTGAAGTTGGTTTTGGTTTTACCCGTTGCAACCGCAACAGTCGAAAGATGTTTTTCAGCGATGAAGTTGTTGAAGACGGATTTGCGTAACAAAATAGGTGATGATTTTTTGAACGATGTCATGATTTCTTATGTTGAAAAAGAAGCACTTATAAAAGTGAAGATCGAAGATGTAATGGATCGGTTTCAAAAAATGTGTACCCGTAGATGTCAAATTTTAATATTAAGATGTAATGGATTGGTTTGATGTATTAGTACTTAAATTTTTTTTTTTTTATGTTATTATATTCGGACGAAAAAAAATTGTGTCGCTGCTACGACAACTTTCTGCATCCGCCACTCACAAACACATAAGCTTCACATTCATGGCCATGGTCTCATCCCAAAGCGCTCTTACTTCATTAAATCAAACAACTCAAGTGTATAATTCACCCTTTCAACCCCACAAAGAACATCAATTAAATCATAGTAAAAGTTTCATTCATGCATCAAACATTTTCCAATCATCTCCTCAACCATTTATTTCCTTTTACCAAATCTACCCTTCAAATACAAAATTGTTATCTTTATGGCGACTCATGATAACTGATAACACAATTAGCATCATTCTCATCGTCGTCAGCACATGAGGAAAGAATCAATAAAAATGCATTAAATATGCTTTTTATTATCCATAAAAAGAATATGCACCAATTACCATGTCTATATTCGATGCCTTTAGATCAATGTAGCAAATGTTTAAAAATTTACATAAGCAACCATTTTATCGGTAAGTGGGTAACTGCAATATTTACAATACATGTATTAAAGGTTGAAAGTATAACTTAGGTCGATAAACCTTTTGTGTTAATTTGTATAAACAAATTTACTACTTTACCACTGTTTTGTTTTAACCTTAAAAACCACATGGGTCTTTGTCTTGTTTTTCTTTTTTCATGACCAACAACCCACATACCTATGTACCATAATACCCCTATTATTTTTGTTCATTTTACATATGTAAACAGAAATAGTCAAACAGTAAAAGCAACTTACAAACTAATTGCCTTCTAATACCGCATAAAGCTAATCCAAACAATTTTTTCTACACTCCAATTTGATTAATAAGAAAAGTTATAAGTTTTAAATAAGGAAAATCCCAAACACTAACAACCACTTAATTATTATTGAAAATATGATTAAATTCTCATACAACAGTTCGATGATAATGATTCAACTCTAAATTTACAACTCACAATTGATAAGAATGTGTTGATTCATTTAACCTTATTAAACTATATGAGACACTAGATCCATTTCTCCGGCATTCTTTAAATACTCAACCACACTCTTCAAGCAACTACCTTTAAGTTGGATACACTTCTCAACCATAAACCTAGCAAGCTTTGAAGCTTCCAACAAATGCCTTTCCCGACAAAGTCCATCCATCATGATAGAATAAATCTCTAAATCAATCGAAATCACAAACCCTAATTTCTCAATCTCATTATATAACTCAAAACCTTCCAACATTCGTTCTTCCTTCAAGTTCAAACACATATTTTTCAACAAAATACTACATGCCACCCCATTTGGCTTCAAACCACCACCCATCATCCTCTTAAACACCATCTCACCATCTTCAAATTTTCCAACTCTGAAAAATGTCACCACAAGAGAGCTATAACATTCAATTTTTGAAACACTCCATTTAGCTACAACTCTATCAACCAACTTATAAGCTTCATCTACTTTATTCACCTTGATAAGGCCATTGATAAAGGTACTGATTGTGACCCTATTTGGTGCACAACCATAAGCTTCCATTCGATCTAATGGTGAATGCCTCCATTGATCTACCTTTTTCACAGAAGCTATGGATCATAGATGTGTAAGTGACTGCAGTTGGAGAATAATTCCCGCATTTCTTTTCCATCTCATCTAATAACTCTAACCTCTTTCTAAATCACCAACTTTGAAAATCCCATCAAAAAGTTCAGAATATGCAACAACATTTGGAGGTAATCCTTGTTGGTTTACAATCTTGAACAATCTGTTAGCATTTTGTATCCTACCCAAATCACAAAACCATTTAACCATTGAAACAAATGTCACCATATCAGGATATAGATCGATCAAACTCATCTCCTCCATTAACATTAAGGCCTCATCCATCTTAGTTATATATATGTGACTGAGCCATAAGAGTCAGGTAGTTTCCACAACGTGGCAATGTGGACATGAAGGTCGGTGAAGAATACCAAGTGAAGAGAAGAATTGAGTGAGATTGCAAAATTCTCCTCCCTAATCAGATTAAACACACTTTTGTTTTGTGTTGAATTGATGTTCAACCATTGTTACAAAAATTATATATATATATATATATATATATATATATATATATATATATATATATATATATGTGGAGTAGACATCAGATTTGTGAATTAACGGGTAAAACCACATGTATTTTGAATGATGATCAACACACAACAAAAAGAAACGAAAACCCATCAAATGATAATTGTGGTGTGGGACCCCAAACATCAAAGTATATTAAATCCAAAATATTATTTCTGCAAAACTGCGAAAGATGTAAATTTAGTTTGGAAGATTTTCCCAACTGACATGCACTACATAATGATGAAAAAAGTTTTGTAGAAACGGGTAATGAAGAACTAGAAACAATAGAATGAAAAACACAATGGGGATGACCGAGTCTTTGATGCCAAATAGTGGAGGATGCTTTATGGCAGTGAAAGCAGTCTTGTGAATGGACTTGAGTTAAGGAAGACGAAGTGAGTGTTGGTGATTTTAGTGTCACCATGTCATTTTAGGTAACTGGAACTGACATGTGAGCTAAGGGGCTTCATGATTTGTACTCTATTATATGTATGAGGTAGTGCGGAGTGCACGCATGTATAAGATCGAATCAGAAGCCGGTTCGACGACTAGTCGGGGGTCCGGGGGCAGCGCCCCCGGGTCCGGGGTTTCCAAAGGGGCAGCGCCCCTTTGGCGGGGTCTAGGGGCAGCGCCCCTAGCGGGGTCCAAGGGGCAGAGCCCCTGGCTGGGGTCCCGCTGAAGGTGGTTACGTTCCTTAGCGGGCAGGGTCGAGGGGCAGCGCCCCCGCGGGGTTTGAGGCAGCGCCCCAAAACCTCACCGAATTTGGCATGTGGGAACATAATGGAAAACTCAATTTCTCGAGGGTGATTATGGTAAAACTAACGAAACTCGTTAGTTTTGGTAACCCTAATCCAGATTAATATTACTTGCTTCAAAAGCAACTAATGACGGCCCAACCTTAATGAAACCCTAATCGTGTTTAATATATAAACAACTCTTCCTTTCCAGAAGGTGGTTACATTCCTTAGCTCTCGTTTTTCATCACTCATTCACAGAATCCTTAGCATATTGGCTTACGTTTTCTGTGCCTAGAAACATAAGTGTCCACTTGGATTATCCTAGGCTGAATTTCTTGTAATCCAGGCATAGGGTAGAAATATCAGTTCGGAAAGTGATATCACGATCCAAGTTGGTATCCAGATCTCCACCACAAACCCTAGATTTCCCCAACAGTGAGTAAATACCATGTTCACTTGGGCCCGTGAGGAGGATAATGTAATAATCATTAATTACAAATATGTAGTCTAATAAATCCAATATAGGGCTACTTTTGGTTTCGTAATATGTAGTCTAATAAATCAATGTTAGTATGTATGACTGTATGAGTCTTAGCTGATATATATACATACATGGTAATATACATTGTTAAAATTGTCAAGTGAAACTAGGATTTAAGGTCAGATCAGTTTCTTCAAACCATCTTAAAGACACTAAAACAGCATATGTATGTATTTACAGTGCATTGGCTACCATAGCCTTTTCAGGTGGCCATTCAGTCAACACTTCCACAATACACCATTCGAAAAACGCCATTCAGACTCTTTCTTCTTTTCTAGTTCAGCTTGTTTACAGTTTTCTTCATGAGCTTTTCTAAACAGCCTCACAAACTTCACAAGGCTCTCTATTACTGCACAACCATAAACCATCATTGTTTTCTTATATTTTCAAATATATTTAAGTCAACAATTATCATTAATATTATTATTGCTCCTTAAAAAAAGAACATGCAGACTTAAATATGTTACCTTGTTCAAAAGGGCAACAAACAGGATCTTCACCAAAATATAATGTCAATGCATCAGCATTTCTACCCTGCAACACAAACATTATAAAATAATACAAAATATATATATATATAAAAATAATAAATTAAAAGGGTTGTTCTTGATTCTTACCACCACAGAATACAAATTTGTTACGGACCCCACTTCTGACTCAGCAATGCTGATAAACTGATTGAGAGTCTAACAATGCAAGAAAAAGAAATATTCGCATCAGATTCTAAATTTATAAAACACAAAAAAAAAGATATCAAATTAGAAGAAATTGAGTAAAATAAATGTTTGTGTATTTACTTTATGAAAAACTTCAGAGACAGGGCCATCGTTTGCAGAAGCATCTAGTTCTTGTCTGACCTTTTCAAGTCCCTTGATAATGGCCTGCATTTCTTCTGCTAAACACTTCAATTGTATCTGCAACCAAGAAACGCCCTTTCATTTATCATTTTTCTTAAAAAAAAATTCTTTTTTTTGTTGAGAAAATAAGTGAAGCTGTGAACCTTAGTTGCAGCCTCGAGACTAACAAGATCCACATGAAAATCCAAAAGGGCAGGTGATTTGGCAGCAAGAGCTTGTAAAAAGTTTGAAAATTTTATGCAAAAGGGACTTGTACCAAATCTGTGTAAATAGCAAAAGGGAGTTGTACTTTGCAGAGGTAATGCATTAAGGTCATTTTGATGATTGAAGAGCGTGTATCTGTGAGTTTCAAAAGACTAGATAACCTGAAACCAACTGCATCACCTGCAAAATTTGTATAAAAATGAACGTTTTTTTTTGGAATAAAAGTCGATATGAAATAACCAACAAGGTTGTATTTTTTTTACCTCTTGCAGTTCCTTGATTTAATGTATTTCCTAAATACAAAATTCTTTTCATGATCTCCTTCAACTTTACACAAGTCCTGACCTCGTCACATGCAGAATTTACAGTGTTTAAACTCTTCTTAAACTCAGAAAGCTGAAAGAAATGTCAAAATGAGATAATAAATTAATAATATATAAAAAGAAGAAAAATGTGATTATCAGACTCGAGTTATAACATAAAAGAAGATACCTTGGTGTCAAATTGAATTTTTAAGAGACAAACTCGTAATTTTGATCCAACATGTGGCACCTTCATGAGCTCAAGGAAGAACTGGGAGAAAAAAATTATGAGAATTAAAAGTTGCATAAAAAGATAGAAATAATTGATGATATGGCTACACCAACCTGTTCACATTTTTCCAGCATCACCCTGTCACCTGCATAATTCTGAAAAGTTGCAATGAAGAAGATCAATACATAAATGGAAGTATCAAAACTGAAACTTTTTTTCATCCCATAAATAAATATATATGTATGAACTATGAAGTAATATATTCACCATGAGAAGCTCCATTTCTTGTTTAGTAGGACAAAACTTGATAAGATTGTCTACTTGATTAGCATCTAAGATTGATTCATCCATAGCTAAAGCTGCAGCCTGTAGATGCCAGATAAAATTTCTTTTATTCAACTTATTCATAGGAAAAATTACAAAAATATTCATAAACAATGCCATTTATTCTGCATCAAAAATTAATCCGAGAGCTATAATGAAAAATTAGAAACTGCAAGAAATTTCATTCTTGAAACACATTTTGTGAAGAAGTCGATCTAAAAAGAAAGTGTTTCGATTAGCATACAAGATTCAAGGAAAGAAAGGTTGAAAGAATGTTAGTAGAGATAGATTTACCATCATTTAAACTCCATTTGATAAACAAGTTTGCAATATCAATGAGTAACGGTCAATATGTAAAAAAAAAATTGGATGCTAAATGGCAAATATCCAAAACTAATGTAGTCCATTTTTCAAAGAGTTTAAATGAAAAAGCTTATCAATATTCTAAAGTATGTCATTTATTTAATTGATTTATTAATTAGCATTGCATTACCAAGTGGATTTTTTCAGTTTTTGAGCCGGTAGACTTGCGGCGTCCTCCTCCTTTAGAAGTATCTTTCTTTGGGACAATGGCAGAGAACAGGGTCTCAAGTTCTGACACATCAAAATCATGTGCACTACAATTCAATAACAACATAACAAATCAAAAACATATAAAAAAATGTGTATAATAATAATTTTTATTAAAAAAATAAATAAAAAGTGGAAAATACCTTTGGGTTTCGCCAGGTCGTTGCAATTCTTCCCACAAGGAACCTTGCAAAGCCCTAGTAACTTTGCTCCGATGGAGTGGCTTTAAGTTTGATCTTCGTGGTGCTGCCGCCATTCCAGCAGGGTGGGCAAGTCCTCTACCCTGTGGTGGCGGAGGGCTGAAACTTGGAGGTCCAGGCGCACGACCTCCCGGTGGAGGTGGTGGTGGCCCAACTCCTGGAGGTCTTGGTGGTCCAGCTGCACGGCCTCCAGGTGGAAGGGGTGGAGGTGGTGGTCCAAGCGCACGGCCTCCAAGTGGAAGGGGTGGGGGTGGAGGTGGAGGTGGAGGTGGAGGTGGTGGTGGTGGAGGCGGTGGTCCCCGCATTGGTGGAGGAGGAGGAGGAGGTGGTGCTCCTTGGAATGGAAGTAGAGGAGGCAGAGGTAGGTTTCCATACATTGGTGGTGGAGGTGGGGGTGGTGGGGGTCCACGCATTGGAGGAGGAGGAGGTGGGGTAGGGACTCGATGGGTTGGTGGTGGAGATGGAGGTGGGGGTGGAGGTCCACGTGTTGCATAAAGCGGTGGAGATGGAGTTCCATATGTCATCCATAGGGGGAGGTGGTGGAGGAGGATGTAGGAATGGAGCACTTCGCGAAGGAGATAGCGGTGGCGGTGGTGGAGGTGGTGATGGGGAATCATACTTTGGAGGAGGAGGTGGTGGTGGTGGTGGTGCAGTACCTCGTAAGAAAGGTGGTGGTGGAGGTGGAGATGGAGGTGGGGCTCTTCCATACATTGGGGGTAGGGGTGGGAGTGGAAGTGGGGGCGGGGTGGCGAAGGTAGAGCTTCATACCTGGGCGGTGGTGGTGGCGATAATGGGGCACTATAACTAGGAGATGAAGCTGTATACATTAGAGTTGGGGTGGAGATGGTGGTGGCCCAACTCCTGGAGGTCTTGGTGGTCCAGTTACACGGCCTCGTGCAACTCCAGGTGGAAGGGGTGGAGGTGGTAGTCCAGGCGCATGGCCTCCAGGTGGAAGGGGTGGAGGTGGTGGTTCTAGCGCACGGCCTCCAGGTGGAAGGGGTGGAGGTGGTGGTCCCCACATTTGTGGAGGTGGTGTGGTAGACCACCACCAGTCATTGGTGGAGGAGGAGGAGGTGGTGCTCCTTGGAATGGAGGTGGAGGAGGTAGAGGTAGGTTTCCATACATTGGTGGTGGAGGTGAGGATGGTGGGGGTCCACACATTGGAGGAGGAGGTGGGGTAGGGACTCCATGAGTTGGTGGTGGAGGTGGAGGTCCATGTGTTGCATAAAGCGATGGAGATGGGGTTCCATATGTCATCCATAGGGGGAGGTGGTGGAGGAGGATGTAGGAATGGAGCACTTCGCGAAGGAGATAGCGGTGGCGGTGGTGGTGGTGGTGGTGGAGGTGGTGATGGGGAATCATACTTTGGAGGAGGAGGTGGTGGTGGTGGTGGTGCAGTACCTCGTAAGAAAGGTGGTGGTGGAGGTGGAGATGAAGGTGGGGCTCTTCCATACATTGGGGGTAGGGGTGGAGGTGGTGGCGGGGTGGCGGAGGTGGAGGTGGAGCTCCATACATGGACGGTGGTGGTGGCGGTAATGGGGCAGTATAACTAGGAGATGAAGTTGTATACATTGAAGGTGGGGGTGGTGGTGTGGGTGGGGGTAGCGGTGGAGGAGATTCCCCTTTTACATCTGCCCCATCAACTAGATTACTAAAATACTCTTCCGCATCATAAAATTCTTCAGGTGAAGGACTTTCTGTCTTATTCCCATCTTCAAATTCTCCTTCCGTGTTGATCATAGATGATAGAGCATCAGCATCCGAAAAAATCACCTGATAATACATCATGTATCTATATATATATGAGCATACGCATTCCACTTCTTTCACTTCTCAAATAACATAAAAAAGATTCAAAAAAAAAATCTAAGTTTTCGACTTTCCTACCTCTTCTTTAAAGTTCTTGGGCATCTGATCTCTTGAATCCCACATAACATCAACTTCATCGCGACTCAACTTAAGTACATTACCTCGGATAAACCTTGTGTGAAACATTACTCTAAACATCATTTCCTCTCTTACATGATCCAAATGTATGCATTCAAGAACAACATCACCTTGTACACGATGATGAATATCTATCTTCACAAGCTCACACTCTTCTGGTTGATAATAACGCACTTGTTTTTTGATTTTTGAAGATGAAAACAAAAGCTTAGAACTTCTATTAGTTGTTGTTGAAGATGAATCTTGACCATATACACGAACAACAGGTCGACAACCCTTTTCACCAAAAATGGGAAGGACACGAAGTATGATACAATCCAAAGCTAATGGTGTGTCTGAAGGTGGCCAATCAGAACCCAAATTTCTCCTTGATATATACTGAAGATACCTCAGCTGTGAAGGCTGTGGATTTAAAGGTGTTAAAAGATGAAGAAGCTCTTTAGGGGTTTGTTTGTATACCATATCAAGAGTCTTCTGTTCACCATTGTATTGTTTACGAGATAGAAGAAGAGCTGCAAGCATAAAAGCAAGAACAGGCCACCCTCCTCTTTCACAGTGCATTAAGAGCACATTTTGTTGTTCTGCTAATAATAACCAGATATCACTGGATAGAAGAAAGTTACGAATCATTTGTAATGGTAACATTGGGCACCCTTCATATTGTCTAGGGTACTCAATTACTGTCATGTCGTATTGAGATAATATGTCTGAAATTTGGGTCCTTTTGTCACCTTCTATAAAATTGAAAACCATGATCGATGAATCAGGATAGTAGTCTTGGAGTTCTGCAACAATGCCACCCATGTACATCTTGTATTCATCTTCTTCCAATACTTCACTAGAGAAGCAGGAATCAAAAACTGCAAATAAGTTTTGTCAATCAAAAGGTAGAAATTTTTTGGACTTAAACCAAATTTCAACTCTAGAAGAAAGAAGTTTGACACAGAAAGGTTGACAGCAAAAATGGTGGCTGATGAATCCGATATAATAGGAGAAAAATTCGAACTATTTCGAAGAAATAATCATAATCAACCAATTATGAACTCAACCCAGAAGAAACCGGAAAGAGGGAATTTGAATAGAATTTTTAGCAGGTGAACTATATCTTCTATGGGTTCCGAGATTCTAGAAGATAAGCGAAATTAGAAATGTATCGTAAACCCTTTCGGAGATCTCAACGAGGCGATTAAAGAAGCGTTTGAACAGCGCCATCTACGCTTCCACCGGATCCAAAATCCCGACTCTTGTATAATCAACTAGACGAATTCCCGCGCGTTGCGCAGCGAAGATTAAAAATATATTGTTAAAATATTGAAAAATATATGTTTAAAATGATCATGTTATTAACATTAACTTTGAGATAATATTTTTACACTAATTTATATATATATATATATATATATATATATCTATATATATATATATATATATATAATCTCAATTATTTTGAACAATAATATTCATTGACATCAACCCACATTCCTCATTAATAGAATCAAATATAATTATCTATTTAGTATTATTTTTAACAATTATTATTATTGATTAATTATATTTTTATTTATGCGATCATTTTCTAATTTCAATAATGATGTTCATTTAAAATACAATTTATTTATAGCTAAATGTAATTTATAATTTGATGTTATTATCATTTAAAATTGTTATTCATTAATTTTAAACCACTTATTATTAATAATAAGTTAAAGAAGACTTTTAAGAAACACTTAATATTATTATTAAAATGTGAAAGATACACTAAATAATAAAGTGATAATATAGACAATTTGCATTTCAAAATAGACTTGCATGGATAATATGACATATCCATGTAATTTGATTTTATTATTTATAATTATTGCTTATTAATTTTAAAACCACTTATTATTTATTAATAAGTGAAATAACTTTTAAAAAGCACTTATTATTATAATTAAAATGTTAAACATATACTAAAAATATAAAGTGATAAGATAGACAATTTGCATTTTAAAAAAGGCTTACATGGATAATATGGATAATATGACATATCCATTATTTTTAATTAATTGTTGTTTTGAAGCAACATGAACATACAAACATGTATACAATAGATAATTAAATATTATATATATCACCTTCCATAACATATGATCGATAACATGAATCTAATCTAATTTACATTAAAATTTCAACCACAACATATAATGATATTCTTAGAAGAATACTTAAATCAAGAAAATACAAAAAAGAATTAGTATATAACAAACTTACAAATTAAAAACTTCAACATAATAACATGGCTCGAAAATTTTTTCAAAGCCCTCAAACCAACACAAAAAACTTTAAACTTGTTTTCTTTGTGAATTTTGTATGTGATTTGTATTTGTGTGTCTACTCAAAAAGATTGACATTTTTATAGTAGAGTATCCATTAATTGTTTATTAAATATATTATATAAGTTATAAAACCTTTGAATTGTAAATCATTATTAAGAGACTTTTGCGTGGTATTCATTAAAATAGGAGGTTTCAAATGCATGAGGTGTTTGCAAATTTTTATGGGGGTTTCAAATGCATGAGTTTCAAGGAAAAATGCTAGCTTTATAAGTATGTATGATGAACCCAAAAATGTTGACTCTGTAATACCTACATCGTTTGAACTCACTTAACATGATTTTTTAATCTTTATTTGCCATAATAATTGAGGAGACTTTTCATTTTATAAGTTTTATTCGGTTACCAACAACAGGTAACCCTCTTTTGCAGGTTACGCAATTCACTCGAGTCACCAAAACGTCAATCTCAGTCTATGATTTGAGAGAGTGTGTGAGTAGAAGAAGAAGGTTTTCAAATGGTTTAGTTCGTAACACCATTGTAGCATGCAAGAAGCCTACCGTTCGAGTTGTTGAATTTGAAATCTATTGAAATTGGAAGGTATGTGTGCGTAATGATCATCTCCATAGTCGATTCCAGTGTTCTATTTTGATTATTGACTAAGAAAATCGTTTTTAGTGTTTGAATGGCAGAGTCATCTGGTTGGCAACGGAGCTCTGCGCGGGTGTAGAAGACATCTGGTTTGTTTGACTATTTCAACATCTGGTTTGACTATCTCAATTTTGTTTTTGTCTTATTTATTTTGCTAGAGTAATTTGGGTTTTATCGCCTATCTTTTAAAAAACTTTTCCTTTATTTTGATCTAAACTTTAGATAAATGATTAATTTTAAAGAATTACTAAACTTTTTTTGTGGGACCCGCTAACAAACATCACACACTAAACCTACTTTTAGAATTTACATCTTTGTGAACCCTCAAGCATTATTTGGAGAGGAACACAATCTGCAACATCGGATGATACTGTTGGAATATAAACCATTTAGATTTAAACTATATATAATGGTTAATTTTAATTTCTTTATTATTATAATTTTTAGTTTTATGGAGTATTAATTTTATGGGGTTAGGTTTTTTAAATTAGAATAACAAACACACATATTTGTTTATCTATTTTTAACTTTTTTTTTGTCTCGAACGAAGCTTAAACCTTTAGTTTATTCTCAACTAAAATTTGTTTAAATGTTATGTTTTATAAAACTATTTTGTTTATTTATTAGAATAAGAAAAAAAATATATGACATGAAATTAAAATGGTGTGGTGTGTGGTAACTATTTCCTAACAAATATGAAGTGGTATGGAGAATGACATGGGTAGATGATGTAGTAAAAAAATGGTGTGGAGAGGATAACCAATACCCACCAGCATAACGACTCATTCTTTAACATGTTATGTGGTTATAGTATGTTAAAGAACACATGATACATAGTGGAGGATGAAGATAGAGTTGATGATGTCTACAAAGAAGAGCATGAACACATGAAGATGAAACTGAGCTCGAAGTGAGTGTAGAGTACAGGGTGCATGATCCAAACATTAAGTGGAACAAAATGAAGTATGGTGTGTGAGAGTTGTACATGTCACTTGCTCAATGTAACACCTCATTTCGTGAATCTATAGCCGTAAATCGGGATGTAGTAATCCTTTAAAGAGAGTTCGTTGTATTATAATAACGCTTGAACATGTTGGTAAAATAATATTATCAAAAGTTGTATTTGTTTTGGAAGAATTTGCTAATTGAGCATCAATAATGAGTTAATGACATAATAACTTTATATGACGAGTTTTTGATGGATGATATTACGAGTTTTTGTATACTTGAAGATCTTAGTTGGTCATTGTTAAATGACATAATAACTTTCTATGACTAAAACTCGTTGTCGGTTATTGTTGTGTAATATGATAAGCTTATATATCTAAGAACCATAGTTGTTAATTGATAGATATATGCATTTTTTTTCTAAGGATTACTTTGGCGGCATTGAAAGGATACATATTTTGTTTCACTTGAAGAAGAACTTGTACAAGAGATGCCACATCCAAACGTGAATAACTAAATCATCTAAGTGTCACCATTAAAGCACTGGGAATTTTCCAGCATTGTAATTTCTGTTTCTGAACAACTAAAATATATAAGCTAACAACAATTTTCCATATGCTAGTTTGTGCTTTATGGACAATATAACTAAAAAATCTAACACCAACAAGAAACCTCTTTCATTGATACCTTATTCAACCGCCATTTGCCTTATATATATGAGACACTAGTTCCATTTCTCCAGCATTCTTTAAATACTCAACTACACTCTTTAGATAACTACCTTTCAATTGGATGCCTTTCTGAGCCATAAACCTAGCAAGCTTTGAAGCTTCCAACAAATGCCTTTTCCTACAAAGCCCATCCATCAAGATAGAATAAATCTCTGAATCAATCGAAATCACAAACCCTAATTTCTCAATCTCATTATACAACTCAAAACCTTCCAACACCCTTTCTTCCTTTAAACACATCTTCTTCAACAAAACACTACACGCCACCCCATCTGGCTTCAAACCACCACTTAACATCCTCCTAAACACCTTCTCACCTTCTTCAAATTTTCCACCTCTGAAAAATGTCACCACAAGAGAGCTATAGCATTCACTTTTTGAAACACTCCCTTTAGCTACAACTCTATCAATCAACTTATAAGCTTCATCTACTCTATCCTCCTTGATAAGGCCATTGATAAAGGTACTGATTGTGACCCTATTTGGTGCACAACCACAAGCTTCCATTCGATCTAAAATGGTGAATGCCTCCATTGATCTACCTTTTTCACAGAAGCTTCGGATTATAGATGTGTAAGTGACTACAGTTGGAGAACAACTCCCACATTTCTTTTCCATCTCATCTAATAACTCTATCCCTCTTTCTAAATCACCAACTTTGCAAACTCCATCAAGAAGTGCAGAATATGCAACAACATTTGGAGGTAATCCTTGTTGGTTTATAATCTTGAACAATCTGTCAGCATCTTGTATCCTACCCAAATCGCAAAACCCTTTGACCATTGTGACAAATGTCACCATATCAGGATAAAGATCGATTAAACTCATCTCCTCCATTAACATTAAGGCCTCATCCATCTTACCCTTTTCACAAAATAACCTAATCACGAGATTATAAGCTGTTGTATCCGGTTTACAGTTGAAGTCTTTCATCTTCTTCAACACCCATAAGCCCTCATTCGCAAGCCTAGCCTCCTTACATAGATTCAAAACAACCTTGAAAGTTTTAACATTTACTACAGGATGATCAATAGTGTAAGCCTCGATAACATCTTTAATCACGTTAGGGTTTTGATTAATCTTGAATGCTTTACAAGCAATGTTATACATGTATGAGTTGTGTCTATACTCGCGTTGAATCCCAGCCCAGATGAAGAATCTAAGACCTGAAGTAGGATGTTTACTGGTAGAACTGCATCTCGTTATCAACTCCTTCACGCATGAAGGATCCAATTTAGCTCCAACTCCTGTTAGGGCTTTTTCGATGTTTGGATCATTACTCTGTAAATGCGTCCAATATTTTTCCACTGGATTTGTAAGTGCACGAGTTGCGAAGGAAAAACTAGGGTTTTTGGTTCGGAGTGATGACGAGAGGGATCGAGAGACAAAAGGAATTGACATATCGAATCAAGAAGCTAATTACTGTAGTTGACTATAACAGACAAAGAGAAAGGGATCTTGAAATAAATACCTATATGTGTGACGATGGATGGAGGAGTTAAAAAGGGGAACCAATGGTCGGCAAAATGTAATCGGCGACGACTACCCCTTGCTTAACAGTCCGGCGGAGAACAGGAGATCGGTAATTCACGTAGCAGAGCCGACTGGACGACTGGTAAGTGGTAACCTGAGATTCAGAAATATTTCAATTTCAACCCTCTATTTTGACATTCAGTCCGAATCATAGACATTTGAGATTGGTTTTGATGCTCGAGTAAAATCGAGGGGTGTATTCATTTATGTATATGTATATTACATTATAATTAATAATTATAATTATAATCATTACATTATTAATTGTAATCAATTTAAATTTATATGTTAAAATGTATAAATTAATTGCTGATGTGAGGGTTACTGAAATGGATGGTAATTACAAAAGCTTATCTTAATCATTTGAAAGATGTCACTATGTAGATGGCCTAACAAAGTTTCACTTATATACAAAAAATACCATTGAAATGGAAAAACGAATAAAGTCATAATGTTGTTACAGGAAGAAATGAAATGAAGATAAGATGCTATAATAAAAAAAATCATGAAAATACAAAGCTACTCTCGCATTTTCCGTTGATTTTTATGCCATTGTATTGAGGCTGAAGAACAACAATGCTTTGCTTATGTATTTACATACCTAACGATGAAAAAGGAAGGAAAAACCAATATATATATATATATATATATATATATATATATATATATATATATATATACACCCAACATAAAACTCTAATGACAACAATAGTCTCTTGACCATATATAAATACAAGTATACAAGAAAAGCAATAATAATCCTAACATTACTATTTAGTAATGAACAACTAACTTCTTGGCCACTAAACGGATCCCAGCATTTTGTTGATAATTATACGGATCCAAAGACAAGTAAGCATCCACAAAGCCACCTGGACGAAACAACCAATCCAATTCTGCCACGTCATACCTACTACTTGTAACTAGTTGTGGTATAGACAATGAAGATAATGATGACGACTCCTTCTTGTATATCTCTGTCGTCCACCCACTACTATCTCCATCTTCATTCCTTAAGCTGTACAAAATTACAAATTACTCATACTAATAATTCAAATCTAACCATATTTTTTTATTTTTTAATAAAAAACACCAAACTTACTGGAATCTAATGGTGGGTGAGTCAAAAAACCCGGGTTTTCTGCAAACAAGAGGTCTCCATTCAGAGTTGGAATCAGAATCCATGAATCTTTTAGTAATATTATCACATGCGTTAAGTAGATCACATAGATTTGAAGAATTTGCATCAACCACAAGACTTAAGCGTGGTCTTCCAGCATGATCGAGATATTTTGTGCTTAATCCAAACCGTATTCTCATGGAATCACATTGGATCTGTAACGGGATGTCTCTGTGAAGGATTTGTATTTTGTGGGACCCGTGAAAATAGGGAGAAACGGATGATGATGATACAGTGATTGAAGCCATGGAAACTTCATTAGAGGGGAGGAATTCGGTTTGTGGGGTGAATGCGTCTGATAGAGTGGTGGAAGATGAATCATCTTCCACCATGGCTTCGTTTGATGGAATTGGAATTGAAATTGGAATGTCTTCCCCTGGATTTGCGGATTCCTGTGTGATTGGTATGTTGGAGTGAATTTGTATTGAAGGAGATAATGATAGAAAAAGGAATGGAGATGTTTAATTCCATGAGAAATTACCAAGAATAAAACTGTTGCGCAATGCTTCACAACTTCAAAATTCATTCGAACGTCGTCTAAACTCCTGAAAGTAATTATTGAAGGAGAATAATTAAGAACGTGAAGCTTTTTTATATAAAAAAAAGTTTACAAATTTTGAATTTTAAATTAATCTTTTTCATGTGGAAAAGCAAATTACCGGTGACTTTGCTGTCCGAGCCCAAAATAAGCCGCCAGGCTGGCCATCTGAACGAATCAAATCATTAGCAAAAGATAAAATAAAAATGGACAAATTACGCAACATATCAACGTACTTTGGGTTCCATAATGCCATGTCACTTGCCACATAACGTGACACGTGTAAAAGTTAATAACTTGGAACATTTACATGTTAAATTAGGCTAAATTATTGTTTCTTGTACGTTTATGGGTTTTTGTAATTTAACAATTAAAAAAAATGAAAATTTCTAATTATAAAATTCAAATTTCGACACTTATAAAATTCAAATTTTGAAGATGGCTTCATCAAAAATTCTGGGAATCAGTAACAACATACCTTCATGTCACCGGCTCTCCTCCCAAACCTCTGTGTCAACAACGCCAATGAATCAATGGTTCCTTTGGGTTCCGGCGGCGGCCGATTTATCTGCGTATACGCCTCCCTTAACCTCACGCAATCAAACCTCAATATATTGTGACCCGCCCATACTCTTCCTGTTAAACAACCCATCGATTCAATTCACAATTCAGTTAACATTTTTATACAAAATTCTGTAGTATAAAGGGAGATTGGCTGATTGGGGATATCAATTTTACCATGTAAGATGTCGTAAATCCTATCTGCGATATCTGAGAAGGTCGACGCGGAGACGACGGCGTCGGCGGTGATTCCGTTGGCGCGAACGGACGAGGCGGAAATGAGGGAGAGATCATGTGGTCTAACCAGTGTTTCGAAGCTCTCCAGTTCAATGAGCTTCTTAGGGCAAACTAATATTGACCCAAATTCCAAGATGGCATAGGGCTGTCCGGGTCGGGTTGGGATAGTTGTTTCCAGATCGAAGAAAGCTATCTCCGATCGGTCTACGCTGGACACCATATCGCAAACTGTGTGTGATAGATAAGAGATAAATATGAAAGAATTAAGGCGCGATCGGTTTTATATATTGGATTTGGAAATACAACTGGTTTATGCTTTATGGGATTTGGCTTTGGAGAGGAAACTTGTGCGTTTTGCCTTCGTATTTTGATAATGGACTATGTAACTCGGAAATAATAAAATGAACACAAAATTTGTAAAATATTTGTTTTTTATACAGATGGATAGTTTTATGGTTTCAATTTTTTGCATTTGGATAGTGTTATTTATTTTTATATTCTTTTTATTTTAATTATTGGAAAATTCCCTTCATTTATCGATGTGGCTTCTATTCTTTGTGTGTTTTGTCTTGGTGATTTCAATTTCATGTCTTTCTCTCTCCTTCGTACCGACTTTCCTCTTTTTAAGACATTCACAATGCATTGAACTTTATAAAGCTCAATTGAATTAGCACATCATATTTCTATAATTCATACGACTCTATTATTTTTTTCTCTACAATGCATTGAACTCTACAAAGTTCAATAGAATGTTACAAAATGTAATTTATAGTAAATATTAAAGAACTAATTGTGAGACTTATGTATTACATGGGTTAATTTCAAAAAAAGAAAAATTAAATGTCAAAATATTTGAGAACTTTGAATTTTTAAGAAAAAAAAATAATGAATTATTATAATAGAAATGTTTTTTATTTTTTAAATTTAAACAAATAATTTAAATAAATAAACAAAAGAAACTAATGATGTTTAATTTTGGGAATTTTGAAATTAAAAGGTAAGTTGATTTAATGAAACTGATATCCATTTATTATTACATTTATTGCAATTATTACATTAAAATATTATGTGGAATTTAATAAAATAGAAAAACTCATAAAATGATATGTGAAAAAAAAAATTAATTCAAAATAACCATAAAATGACATTTGGCAAATTGAATAAAAGTGTGACAAGTGGCAAAAAACTTTCATTTATTAGAGTAGATTAAAAACTTTCCTTGTTTCCATTGAAGAGTTCAATGGTCATTGAACTCCAAATCCATTGAATGCCAAGGTGGCATCTCACAATGGTAAAGTTTCATCCATTGGATGACACATGGACTTGTCACCTCATTCAAACTTCCCCCATTGAACTCACCATTGTTGATGCTCTAATATCTCATTATCATCGACCTTCTGTCTCTCTAAACCTTACCGAAAGATGAAGTCACTAGAAATGGGGTCAAATGTGGTGTTAGAAAATGAGGAAGGTTGGTGTTAAAGGGACAAAGGCGGCATAGCAAACATCCGCATAACACAATAAAAAAATTTAGAGACTAATCACGCCACCTTTTGTAATATCCGGATCCCGAGGTAATTCAATTTCCATAATCTTTAAGCATTGTAAGGTTGCCACGACGTGGAAGAGGTGTCACGACGTGGCGCTTCGAGAAATTCATTTAAGGCCGCCATGGCGTGGCAGTTGGCAAATGGTAAAACCCTATTTTCAGGTTTTGCTCCCTATAAAGGAATGAGGAGGCTAGGCTTTTCTCACCCTCAGCTTCCATTAGCCTCTTTGAGATTTTGAAAACCCTAATCCTATCCTCTTTGTTTGAACCTTGTTTTGGTGCTTTTGAAGCCATTAAAGAAAGGAAGAAGAATAAGAAGAAGAAGTGAGCTTTGAATCTGTAAGCAAGACATCATCCTTTGTTGTAGCAATCTTCTGGACCCTTTTAAGTGTCCAAGACCCGATTTTTATCATGATAAGTAGTTAGATCTTGAATTTTGTCCCTAAATCTTCATGTCCATGATTATTAGGTGGTGAGATCTCATAAAGTTTGCAGCTTTATGAAATTACAGACCATTTAGGGCATTTGATGCTTTGGATCTGGAGTAATATTGAGTTTTAGCATCATGCATGAGAGTTTTGGCCAAAAACCCTCATTTTGACCTAATAGAGTCTAAGACATGCATTGGACATGCATGTCTAGAAAGTGAAGGTTTTTATGTTGTTATGTGATGATAGAAAGGTTTCTGGAAATGTGGAACTAAGAGCCTTTATGATTAAGTGCTTAATGAGTTAAGCCAAGTTATGTTTTGTCCTTTCTAAAACTAAGAAATGAGATCTTTATCTCTTAAAGGGTCTAATGAGATAAAGTTGGAAACTTTATCCACTTGGACGTTAGAATGGACCAGATTTGGGCTTTGGAGCCCTTTAGGATCGAAGAAATCGACTTAATCCATTAAGTTGTTGGGAAACCAGTGCCAACGACGTGGCGACTGGGCTAAGGTCCGTCCGTTTTGCCGATTAGTGGCCAAGGATGGCCATTCGCGTGGCGACCAGCTGGAGTTGACTTTGACCAAGTTTGACTTTAGGTCATTTTAGGTATTTTGACTAGTAGATTGAAGTTTAAATCATTGTTATTGTATAGGTTATCAGTAGAGGCAGTATTTGATGCAGTGATTTGTTCAGCTATCATTTCAAACTGTGAGGTGAGTTTCCTCACTGTACGTGTGGGTCAAAAGGCACCAATGCCGGCCGAGTAGATTATGTATCTTGGTTAGGATGTTTCTATGATGTAGTGATATGTTTAGATATGCATGTTTATCTATTCTAGTTATATGTTTGTATGTTGCATATGTCAATATAGTGTGGTTCGATCGAGGCAATACTGCTATGTGTGGAAGCCAACAAACCCGAGAGCAAGCCAGACATAAGTTGTGGGCTAGAAAGGGCAATCCAGACTTATGTTGTGGAGTCGGTAACAATCCAAACATGAGTTGTGGGCCAAAATGGCAAGTCAGACTCATGTTGTGGGCTCATAGGTAATCCAATTCAATGACTGTGGACCTAGTATGCATGCTGTTATATGTTGTGTGGTGGTATTTTGGAGGAACTCACTAAGCTTTGGCTTACAGTTTATGTGTTATGTTTTAGGTACTTCTGATGATAGGGGAAAATAAAAGGCGTGATCGTATACATCCTTCGGTGACACGTTTTTGGAGATTTTATGATATATTGGTTTTGGGATATTTGTATTTGATACTTTTTTTCTTATGATTTTGGTTTTGATTGAAACAATGGTTTTTATTTTAATTGAAAAACAAAAATTTTATCGTGATTTTTGGGACGTTACACATTTTTGTAACACCCCGACTCTCATGTATAAACTTCTCAGTCTTACATTTCCATTTAAAAGGTCGACTCGACGAGTTGGATGCCCTGAATCGTCGAGTAGGAACGGTTTTGGTCGTGGGTTTTAAGTGACCAACTCGACGAGTTGGAGGACCGACTCGACGAGTTGGAGCTGGAGGATGAAACCCTAATTTCCGGGGTTTTGCACCCTATTTAAAGGGTCATTAGCCTCCCTTACAGCCCCTTTGAGTCCAGAAACCCTAAATCACTTTTCTCTCCATATTTGTGTGTTTTAAGCTTGGAAGGTGGATCTTGGTGAAAGGAGATTGAAGATCAAGAAGCTTTGAGCAAGGAACAGTTGAGGATCTGACTCTTCTGCTTATTAGCATCATTTTGAAGGTAACAAGTCGTTACCTTGACTTCCCTCCTTCTAGATCTCTTTATGTTTGAGATTAGGGCTTTTCTAGCTTATATGTGAACCATTTTCGGGTATGGGCTAGGATTTGAAGTTGCAACTTTAGATCTGAACTTATTTTGGTCTCTATAACTATAAAGTTTCCAGTTTTAGCAAGTATGAGCTATTCCTTTTGAGTTAAACCCCATTTTAAGCTTGGATTTGGTATTCTAAGCCTTTAGAGCCTTGCATGCACGTAAAGTTTGCAACTTTACGTGATCAGCATACCTTAGGAAGCTAGATCTACCATTTGGAGCCTTGAAATGGCTCAAAATCATCTGGACAAGAAATGGAATTTATGAACTCGACGAGTCAGATAAGGGGCTCGACGAGTTAGGAAGGGTTTTCCCATTGTTTGGTTTCTGCATGGACTCGGCGAGTCAGCAGAGGACTCGACGAGTCAGTTAGGGTTTTCCCCGACTTCTGGACACGCATAGACTCGACGAGTTGGTCAGAAACTCGGCGAGTCAGTGAGGGTTTTTATGACCTTATGAACTCTTAAGGAACTCGACGAGTTGCTAGCTGCACTCGATGAGTTGAGTCAACATGGACTGTTGACTTTGACCGTTGACTTGACTTGGACCAAGGGTTGACCAGTTTGACCTCTGGGGGTATTTTGGTAATTCGGGAATTTATGGAAGGGAGTCACCGGGTGATTGTAGGTGTTGGATTAGGAGCTGCATTTGGAGGAGTTTGACTTATCACTTCGAGCTACTTGAGAGGTGAGTTCTCCTCACTATACCAACAGGGTCTACGACACCAAGGCCGACCCTTTATGATTTGCATCCTGGTTTAGAAAGGTTGCTATGTTATTGATCTGTTAGATTTCATCCTGGTTTTAGGATGGTTGCTATGCTAGTAATCTGTTAGATTGATATCCTTGTTGTAGGATGGTTGCTATGTTAGAGATCGGTTAGATCGGTATCCTAGTTATAGGATGGCTGCCATGTTAGGGATCTGTTAGATCTGTATGACTATCTGTTATTGCATGCTAGCGTATGATATTTATGTGCACATGTTTGTTTGGGGAATTGGGTTGAGGCAGGTCTTGCTGTGTGTTGTAGGCCAAGACACCCAGGACAGACTGGATAGACTGTAGGCCCGGGTTGGGCAAATTAGTCAGAGGTCGAAGGCCCGGCGAGCGGTCCGGATAGGCTTAGGCCCCGAGGAGGGTGGTCCAGACGTGCCGAGGGCTCGGAGAGCGGTCCAGATAGACTGAGGACCGAGAGGCGGTCCAGTTAGACTGATGGCTCATTATGCATGATGTTTGCTTATATGTTTATATGATATGGTTATATATGTATGACGTTGGTATTTTGGGGGTAACTCACTAAGCCTTCGAGCTTACATTTATCGATTATTGTTTCAGGTACTTCTGATGATCGCGGGAAGGCGAAGGCGTGATCGTACCACTCCTCACACTTTATGATTTTATGATTTGATTCTGGGATACTCTGACAATATACTATTTTGAAAACAAGTTTTTGTAATAATCATGAGTTTTTAAATGTTTTAAAAAGTTTAAATTTGGCATGATTTTTATGGGTGTTA